TCCTCGATCCCCCACTTCCATCTATGTTCAACTGGTTCCTCCTTGTTCTCGTTGCATACCATGACGGCACTCTTCTTGACGTTGGCAGACAATTTACACTTATCAGTAAACTTCGCCGCGTCAATTTGCAGTTGCAGTCCCTCAGGGGTGTCCGACATACCGACAAAATCATCCGCAAACAGCATTCCTGAAACCGACGTTTCCGTGTCCCCTACTTTTACTCCCTTCCGGACTGCCTCTACGACTTCCAACAGATCGTTGATGAACACCTGGAACAATGTTGGGGACAGGATGCAACCTTGTTGGACCCCCTGCTCAATGTCGAAGAATTTTGACAGTTCTCCGTCTAACATGACCGCGCTTTTCGTACACTCTGTCATCTTCTTCAGCACTCTCCACATTTCCCCCTTGATCCCGTATTTGGACAGTTGTTTACACAACCCATTTCTCCATACGGTGCCGTATGCCTTTTTCACGTCCAGGAAGAAGCAGTACGTCGGCTTTTGCGCCCTCCTTCTACCTTGGATGATTCTCCCTACCGTGAATACGTGGTGTACGTACCCCCTCTTCTTGCGGAAACCTGCCTGGCCCTCACTAATGCTATGTTCCTTCTCCANGGCCCTCACTAATGCTATATTCCTTCTCCATTACTCCCACTATCCTATCGTTCAGCATCTTACAGAACACTTTTCCTACTGTGTTCAACAGTGTGATCCCCCTGTAGTTTCCTGGGTCAAGTCTTGTCTTCTTTCTTAAACAAGTTCACAACCACTCCTTCCCTCCGTTGGTGGGGGGGTTGTATGAAATGCCTGGTATCTACTTTTTGTATTCGGAAACCAGCGCCGGGAGAGCGCAATCCCTCACTTACTTTGTGTCGAACGAACCACGTGGTCCGCACTACCCCGTTCACGCCCAGAATCTGTACCGCGTGCACATGCCCTCCTTGCCTGTTTCACGAAAAATACACGAACCACCCCCCCGCCCCCCCCCCAGGTAACGTCTGCCCTGGCCTACATGCACTCGTTGAACATCATCCACCGGGACCTGAAGCCCGAGAACTTGCTCCTGACCTCCAAAGGCGCCGCCCCGGAGGTTAAAATCATCGACTTCGGGCTGGCGAAGGTGCTGGGCGCGGGGGACGACAGAGCGCAGTCCTTCCTGGGGACAAGGGTGGGTTCACGTTTGACATTGTATTGTAGTCCAGGCAGGTTTTTCGAAGTAAGATAACAGTTGTATGATGTCTCAGAATCGGCTACGGTAGATTTGGGGTCTGCGTGCCCCCTTTCCTGATATTTCCCGGTAATAGTCTTCCTGTCGTTTCGGCAGTCCGGGTCCGATCCCTCTTAAGTTTATTCGGTAGACATTGGGTGTGTCTATCATGGCGGCGGCGGTGTGTGTGTAAGCGCATGCCGTAGTCGTTAGACCCTGCACGGGGCGATATGCCGACTTTCGCCGGCCCAGGGTACTTTTCACTAAGACGAACCACCGTGGTTGGGGGGGGGGGGGGG